AGCCTGGCTTTACCTCGGAAAAAGCACTCAGGTTCCTGGAATGAAAATCCATTCAGCAGCAGCGGCAAGCTACTTCCAAAGCGGGGTTGGTGTTGGGGGTGTGAATTGTGAACAAAACTCAGTCCCTGCTGTCCGGGGTGTTACAGTGTACGGAAATCGACCAACAAGCGGCGTCTACACTGCTGAGAGGGGGTGGGGGTGCACAGGTGCTTGGGGGTCAAGGAACGAACTGAGTCAGCCTTTGGGTTACAGAAGGCTTCCTGGAGGAAGTGCCACCTAAGCTATCTTGAGGCCACCACGTCAGTTCTGACTCACAGCGACCCTCCAGGACAGGGGAGGGACTGCCCCTGTGGGCTCTCAGACCGCAACGGATGGGGGAGAACACCTCATCCTTCTCCTCGGATTGGCTGGCGTTTTTGAACTGCTGACCTTGAGACTGTAACTCTTTAGGGGGCTAGACAGCCCCATTGTCCCCCTCTCACCCCCCATGATGAACTAGTCTCCAGAAAAGTACTTCCACAAAACTCACTAACCCTGCTGGGCGCGTCTTTCGGACACGAGGGATTGATCGAAAATAGGAGATCAGGGAGACTACTGTTGTTAGCTAGCCTATCGGAGCAGACCCCACTGTTCATTCCTGGTTCTGGCAGAGGCCCTATCTGGTGTCCATGTGCAGAGCCCGCGCCTCCCAGCTTGCTCATTGCTCCCTCCCGCCATAGACATGGAAGACCAGGTAAGAGTTAACCAAGAACAGGGAGGGAGGGGCCAGGGGCAGCAAGGCAGTCACATTGCTGAGAAGCCCATGGGGTCCCCGGCCCGAGACGTTGTTTGGACACTGAGCCTTGAGAAAAAGAGTTCTCCTAACCCCCTCCGAAGTTAAACAACGAAACCAAACACCAAACTCATTGTCCATTGAGTTGGTGCCCACTCATAGCCACCCTCCAGGACGGGATAGAAATCTTCCCAGGAGTAGACAGCCTCTGCTGAGTGAATGCTGAGTTCAAACCTTTGGCCTTGTGGCTAGCAGGTCAACAGCAGCCCACCACGCCTCCAGAGTCAAAGACCAGCCTAGTAAATGGCGCCCCTCCCTCCCCCTGGCATCCAGTCAATTCTGTTCCTGGAGGGTTGCGATCAGTTGAAACCAGCTGATGACAATAGACTTACTGTTGTCTGGGGGTCACTACAATGGGGTGTAAGTGCCTGTGGACGTTCTTTCCTCCCGGAAACGTTTTGAACCCCCTGGTCAAAGTAGAAGCCACCTTGTTGGTTCAGTGGGTTAAGCACTGTGCTGCTACCCCTCGCTCCATCAGTGGTTTGAACCCACCAGCTGCTTTGGGAGAAAGATGGAGATATTTGCTCCCCTAGAGACACACGGTGTCAGAAACCCCAGTGGAAAGTTCCACCCTGTCCTGTAGGGTCCCCGTGCATCAGGGTCTATCTGAGGACAGTGGGTTTGATTTTGGGGTTTGCATGGAAACAGGATCTTGATTTGGAAATGCTGTATGAAAAAGAAAATGCCTTGGATGGGGTAAGGTATATCAATAATAATAATATATAATAATAAGGGTTCCTGGGGGGTAGGGTGGTGGAGGGAGGGGATAGAGGAGTACTGACATCAAAGAGTTCAAGAAAAAGATCACGTTTTGAAGATGATGGTGGCAGCAAATTTACAGTTATGCTTAATCTAACTAAATTATGGACTGTTAAAATATCTGTGAGTTCCCAATAAAATGATTTTTTAAACAATCTGTTAACTATTAGCCTAGAGCTTAAGCCATTTCACATATAAACACAGAGTTTTAAATTTAAAAATAGAAAAGGGAGAGGCCCCAGGGCACACCGGAGGGTAACCATTGGGTTGCTAACTAAGAAGCCAGAATTCAAACTCACTAGCTGCTCCTGGGGAACAAGATGAGGCAGTCTCGTCCTATAAAGATGTATAGTCCCTGAAATCTCAAGACGCAGTCCCACCCTGTCCTACAGTGTCACCGTGTGCAGCAATCAGTGACCGTGGACCGGTGGCTCCAAACTTCAACTCCAGCTCCCTACCATCAGGTGTATTCTGCCTCCTAGCGACCCCCTTGGACAGAGCCAAGCCCCCCTGTGGGTTTCTGAGGCTGGGAATCTTTACAGGAGCAGACAGCCTCCTCTTTCTCTCGAGGAGCGGCTGGTGGCTTTGAACCGCTGACCTATGATTAGCAGCCAACTTGTAACCCTCTGTGTCACCCCGTGTATAGACAAGAAGCTTCACTCGTTTCCCGTTATCAGCTTAATAGGAATGTTGACGTCACACAACCTGAATGGGGTGGGAAAGGGGGCTCTGGGGGTCTGTAGTTAAGCGAGCGCAGGACAAACTCACCAGTCTCACCCTGGGAGAAAGATTAAACTGTTTACGTCCATGAAGATGTACAGCACTGGAAACCCCAAGGGGCAGTTCTGCCCTGTCCAATTGAATCGCTGTGATGAACTTACAGCGACAGGCTCCTCTGGTGGTTGTTGTTGGGAGCGGGCTGTGTGTGAGTGAATGCAAAGTGCAGCTCATAAAGGGGTGGGGGAGGGGTCCCCTACCCAGCATTCCAGATGAGGCTTCAGACATGGCATTTCATTCTGGTGTAAACCAGCTTTCTGGGAGCCACAGAGGTTGGAGTGACCCACCCAGCCCATCACCCTGGCTTGACTTTTCGACCATGAGCCTGGAGAGAGCTGGCTTCCTGAAGACCCCTTTGAGAATCGCTTTAGAAAGTTCCGGATAGAGTGAAAGAAACTCAAGATCATTCGAGTGATTTTCTTTTTTTTTTCAAAGACCATCCTTGCTAGTCAGTGAGAAACTGGTGGAACGCCCTAGAAACCATGGCCCCCAGTTCAGGTCTGGTCTGAACTCACCCCCATGGCTCAATGTTCAGCCTGATAGACAACTCTGTACGTGGAACGATCACACCAGGGCGGTACAAGTTGCTCAGAAAAATCAACCAGTCAAGGTCGAAAGGTCAGCATTGGGCCAAGCATCAGGTTCAGAAGAGTTAGGAGGGAGGAGGAACAGAAACTGGAAACGCAGGGAGGGAGTGGGCTGGTGATGAAGCTGGGGGGACCTCAGTGAATGAGGTCAGCCACTTTGCGCGTGAGCAGCTGAATGGAAGATAGATGGTCCGTGCTACAAGGCTTCACCCACGGCACCATAAAGAGTCAGGGACAAAAGGAAGGTGAATGGAAGCTATAAAAGGAGGAAACAAGAGGAAGT